TTTAAGTCGGGCGCGACAAGCGACAAGTTTGCGATTTTAATTGAATTTTCCACACAATCCCGCACAATCGACGCAACAAAAATTTAATATACATCGACAGTGTCTAGACTTTCAGTTTCAATTCAATAATTAAATACCTGTCTAATGAAAAAGCAGAAAAGAGCAAAAAAGTTTTATAAAGTTACTAAAGTTACTAAAGCCTACAAGTTTTTTCTTGTTTTGTTTTTTTCAGCCAACTTGGCAAGTAAAAAATCTCAGCTTTTATGGATGCATCCCACGGGAACTCCCAGTGATATTCAACTTATGATATACAACATTTGATGGAGACTAAATCACAAATCTGGGGATTTCATCTGGAGACTTTTTGTTTCAAATCACATCCGTCTTCTTTTGTTTGTTTTTTATGAACGCCACTTGTATGCCGATAAAGTTTTCGAGGTTGCGCTTGAAGGTTTGAAGGGTTCGGAAGATTTTAGCGTTATGTGTTTATATTCCGGAGGACTGTCACGGCGAATATGTGCTTCCGTGCGAAAGATGCCCGCGGGAATATTCTGATTTGGACATTGGTTGTGAGCCGTTGAGTGCTCTCCGCCGCTCGGGGACTTTTCTCTCCCTCGCCCGCTGAGAAACATCCTTCTTCTTCTGCACTGCACGAAAATATGTACTACGAGTGTATAGTTCTGGGACGATTTTCATATTCAGGCTGACGCCTCAAACGGATAACATGTTTTGACTATATAAAAGTCGCCGTGGAAACTTTGCAAACCTCGATATTTATCAGGTGCACTTTACGTGTATGCCTTTCGGTGGTTGTGGTTCATAAATTTCCGTCAATATATGACTTGAGATTTCGACTGGGGGCCCGGAAACGTTTGATTCGGAGCATGTGATGCTCGACTCGCTCAATCGTTGATTTAATTATGAACATCATCCGAGCACCGTGGAGAGTGTGATGTCTGAAAATGTGCTTGACTCCGGCGCGCGGCCTTTGCCAAATTGATGGGCAATATTTTTCCCTTCGGCCGATGTTTGATGCTGCTGCTTTCCATGCTTCTCCATTCGCTACGCTTCGGTGATGTGAAAACATGTGAAAAGCAAAACTGAAAATTCCCGCAGCGAGAGTCCACGAAATGGAATATTTAAGTGCGGTTTAGGTGAGTTTTAAAATTGCAAGACGCGAAACACAGAAACACACACGTCAATTTTTCATCCCACGATCGAAATGAAAAACCACTCGCATTCGCTTCGATACATATTTGATCTTTTCGGACAAGCAGTGCGGCAGCGCAAAGTTTATGTTTTATTGGAAAAAGTTGTGTTTGCGTACATCGGACCAAAACTAATTAAACTTGTTTCTTGTGCGCGCGGTGCTGCAGGCGAGGCATGAAGAAGAGCGCGCGCGCGCGCTTCGCAAACAAATAAATTACTTTTAATTACAACAATTTTATAATTTGTACTTTCCGCGGCTTGATTAATTAACGCTTGGCGCAAGATTAATGTTCATTGTAAATCATTTCCCTAACTGGTTGAATTTTTCTCGTTTTAAACAACAAGAAAAAAAAATCATATAAAACTGGCTGTTTTTTGTTATTTGTTTTTTTGCGGCAAGCCGGCGGCAGTAAATTACATCGTCTTTATTAAATTTTACAGCTGGGTGTTTGGCAAGTGAAATTTTTCTGACATTGGGCAATAATGGTAGTTTAATTATAAAATTTCAACAATAGCTTGTCGTCCCGGCCGGCATTGTTTATTTTGACATGTATATTACCAGCCACTCTCGAGATGAAAAAAATAGAGCGAAAAAAATGTCATCGGAGCGCGTCGAGCGCGCGACGTGTTTATTTTTAACGCGGTTTTTTTATTTCTCAAGTAAAAAGGCATAATTCCACGCAACTCCGTAAATAATGCAACTAGGAAGCAAGAGGACGGGCGGCGTCATCCCGAAATAAAAATGCCACAAAAAAGTCGAAATTTATTGCGCTCGCAAGAGGAAGGAATTATCCCGCGAGCGGCCATTATTGTACCCCTCGACTCGGACGAGAAATTATTTACAAAAAATCTCACGCGCGCAGCACGCGGTTTCATCTTTTTCAGCCGATTTTCGTCAGTTTTTAGCCCCTGCGTATTGTTGTGTGTTTTCCAAAACACCGCATCGCTGGCAGGGGGAAATCGGTAAACTCCGTAAAAGCGGATTGTATTTTTAGAGAATGCTTTACGGTGTGTGTACAGAAACGTGGCAAATTACCTTAAAACTGCGGCGCGCAGCCGTTTGAACGCGCCTAATTATATTATTTCTCATTTGGAGAAACTTTAGAGCCCGAAATGCGCCACTTCAGGGAATTAAAAATAAAAGCCGCGAGCGCATCGCACAGATGCGCCATTCATAAATGTTGAAAAACATCAAACAGATTTTTCTCCAATATTTTCCGAGACAATTCCACGCTTCTCAAACTTAAATCGTGCATGCATTAAAACGCGAGCATCCTCTCATTGACTCAAAATACACAATTTATACAATTCTCTCCGAATCAAATGTTTAGAAAATTTGCTAAAACATAAAATCTACGCGCATAAAATCATGGATTTTAACGCCCACGCATAAATATCGCCGCGAACGTTTATATATTTATCTTACCACAATACGTGTCGAACCGAGGCACGCAAATAAGTTGGAAATATGCGTAAAATACGAAAATGTGAAATTAGCCGAAAATTTATACATAAAAATGTGGCATTGAACCAACTTGCAAATGACGCAAGCGGTTCATAAATTCGTGTGTGTTTATTCCGATTCAGAAATCATCCAATCAATCAAATCAAAATGTTGAGCCTGTTATGCACTAAAATAGATCTTTGGGTAAATAAATCCGGCGATGAACTCGAACCGCTTGAAGTAAACCTAACGCGCGCGGAATGATCACAACAATTTTTCGTTTGTATATTATTTTCTGTCAATTAACGGATGATGAAAAACATTTTACCGAATTCGGCCAGGAGAGTTGCAGGCAAGTGCCATAAAGCTAACTAGAAAGTCAATTTTCTTTTAATGTGAACTCAACCAGTAGCCTACGAAGAACCTAAACATAATTTAGTCATACTACCTGCTATCTTACTCTCTAAAATATATTACCATTTTTGATTTATCCACTCGGTATATTCAATTCATAGTAAATTCAGAACGCAATGAAAGGCAAAATTATATACACATTAGCAGAGTTCTGTTGCCGTTCGATGTTTCTGTTTCAGCTCTCGCTGTTGCATTCTGGAGTCGACACGCGCACGCGGGAAATAATTTTCGGCGAATAATTTTCCTGCGCAGCGCTGCGCCTTTGTGGGACGGCAATGATTGCCAGCCGCCCGTCTGGCGTGCTTCGCGATGTTCATTTGCAAATGACTTCATCTCGGGCGCCCATCAATTGAAGCAATCTTCATATTAAAGCGTTAACCCCTCTTATACGTTATGCCATAAGCCATAAACGGCGGCCGACGCGAGGGCGGCGAACAAAGACGCGCGTTCGCCGAACACGAAGACGAGGCGGCGGTGGTAGCGGCGGCAGTGTGCTATATTATGCAGAAATCTTGATGAACTCCAGTCGTTCATCTGCGCCCATGGACGTGCGGATACTGAATTGTTGTTTAATTACAGAGCCGGACTAAGAAAAAAATTAATTTCACAATAATAAAACTTTATGTTTTTAGTACTGGCCTGTGTATTATAAACATTTCCATAAAATAAACTCCGATGAGGAAACATCTTTTCATTTTCTTGCCTATTGGCTTCGCCCTCCGGCCGAGTAGATTAACAGTCGGGAGGCGCAGGTTGCGTTTGAAAAAAATGAACTTGTGGGTTCCTTCCGGAAAATTAAACAGTCGTTCAGTCGTAATCTGCATACACTTAGCGTGTAAGAGGCTTCCTGCCGGCCGAATTTATTCGCACTGCCGTCTGCTGCCTTTTTGCTCCCTCGTGATTCTCTGTGACTCCACACTGACCGTTGTAAATGCTAATCAGCGAGGCTTCTGCTTCTTTTCTCGTTGGGACCACCCTCAAAACGCGGAATTAAAAGTTCTGAATTAGAAATTACAAGATGCAGAAATGCTAAGAATGACTCATATAACTCAAGGGGAATGTATTTAATATCTGAAAGTTCTTCAGTGTATTATTTTAGTTTTGTTGGTTTTTGTATCGTTTGAGTGTAATTTAAGTTGTCGTTTTTGGTAATTTTAGACCCAAACCGAGTATTTTTTAGTTGGGGTTGGTGTGACTTTTTAAATGGCTCATTTAGTGGTTGAAAAGTTGTTTAAAAATAGATATAAAAAGGTCTGGATGACATAAAAGTTTCAAGTCATAACATATGTGACTTTTTCTTACCTATATCTTCTTTTGCTAATAATATATTGTCTCTGTAATAAAACTATTACATACGTTTTTTGCAGATTTTTTCACGTGTTCCTACAACCCCTGACCCTTAGCTCCCCACAGAACCTGGACCAAAGTTACTACCAGCTTGGAACTCTGCACATTCTTCTCCCCGTATGGTGTGCGCTTTTTTTTTCTACTCCCCAGCTACGTCTTCGCTTTATTTTTTATTTTATTTAGCCACGGGGTCACTCCTCGGCCCGTCCCTTGACGAAGTGACCGCGATACATCAAGTAATATCAGTTGTCGCGGCGATGCCACCCTTGGGCTTACCGCCGGCCCCATACATTTCAATCCCGCACGTCAGCGCGCGCCAGCACCATCCACTCTTCATATATCATCCGAGTGGCAGGTTTTTTACACTTTTCCACTTTTTCCGCCTGCACAATCGACACCGGCGCAGTTTTTTCGGTCTTACTCAACGCATGACGAGCGATGAGAGACGAATAGCTCCCGCCAAACGGAAGTTTCAAGAGTTGAAACTTTGTTTTTAACGTTTGTTTACCGATTTATCCAAAATAATTGGAAATACGTTTTCATAATACACATAGGTACATCATGTATAAGCAAATATAACCATCAATAAATGATAATTCTTTATGAGAAAGTTAAAATAAACAGTTTAATTCTCACGTATATTTATCGGATTTATAATCCGTCGATCAGTCCGACTCAGTATCATCTTCAGACTCTTCTTCGGTTTCTTGGTGTGGCGAGACCTCCTCTAACAGATTCGAGTAATATTGAAACTGTGCCATTGTTTGTTTGAGAGCTAAAATATTGCAATTGTTTAAATTTTTAATGTAAATTAATTTCATTGTTACCATTTGCTTGTTTCTCTGTCATCTTGGCGTGCCACGCGATAAGTTCTCTACCGGTTCGAATATACGCTGGTATCACTTGATTTGACGACGACATGCTGCGTGACGATGCAAAACACGACTAAACATGTTTCACGATTTTATTTCAATTGTATGCTTTTATTTTGGTTGATAATCAAACAAGGTGACTATATATCTTTATTCGATAACAAACGTAAACAAATAGAGTATCTTCGATCAATTTATGTTTTGTAAATGCGAATATGTTTATTTTTATTCTTGGAAAAAGATATCTCGTAATTTATTGCAATTTCAACTCGTTTGCTTCTCGATGCGTTCCCTACCGCCTGAATTACACCCCCGCATTAATTAAGCGCGTGTGTACGCGGCGTAATCGAGCGATATCATCGAAGTTCGTGTTCGGTTCGACTTGTCCGCTGCGGCGCAAAACGAACGCCAAGAAGAATATAAGAAACGGCGGACATTGGCCATCGAGCGAAACAACACAATATGTAAATTTTATCGCGATTATAAGCATCGCCTGGTAGCCGGCCCGTTGAAGAATGGCGCGCGCATATAAAAACTAATTAACAAAATACATTTCTTGCCCGTCTCGCAGGCCTGTAGCGGAATCTCAGTCTGTACTCGTCTCGAGCACTCGAGCAGTTACTTTGCGCGCACATGCACTTGCTGCCTGCCAGTGCAAGTGGAGAGAATTACCGGAATTATAAATTAATTAATTTAATTAATGCAAACGCGCGCTGCACGTCTATAAAAACTGCATTAGCGCTATTAAATGCACAATAAGTGCACAATATCTGCTGGGTTACACTACATTGTTGCGTCTAAACTTTGTACGCGCTGTAAATCTACATTTTCAACATTTGCTTAATAAATTTTCAGCAGTTTTCATTTTGATTCATTTCTATTGTGCCCATTTCTCGGCTGGAAATCGTAGAAGAGCATGAAGGAGATATGGTTATTTTATTTCGCGACACTCCCTATCTTGGCCATAATTTGTGACGCCACGTGAATTTATGGTCTTTATTTTGTGAGCCAATTAATTAATTCCGATCCGCCATGTTGGGCGCTTCGGAGCGCGCGCGGGCCCATTATCCAAGATTGCGACGGGCTTATAGCTTGACACCGACGATAAATCTCCTTCGGGTTTCTAATATTCGGCAGCGACACGACGTCGATAACTAAAACTGCCTAGAATTTTGCAAAATCGCTAAATTTCGAGTATTAATATTCATGTTGAGAAGGTTTTGAGTGATTTTATTAATAAATGAACTCGACGCTAGACAAGTGTGGATTTTTTTATCCATTTTTGTTCTTAGATGACTTCAGATTAAGAAAAAAACTTATTCTGCGAAGTTGGATCGATCCGTTAGACGGTTAGACGTTGTTAATGTGCAATTGCAGCACTAGCAGTGCGCATTTAATTTTTGCCATATACTCGCCTGCTGATGATGATGGCTAACAGTAGATTTATCGATTTTCAGAATATAACGCTGTCTCTTTGCCCATATAGCAATGCGCAGTCATTATTAAACGCACGCATTAAAGAACTAATTGCTGGCCTGTGCGCAAAGAAACCAAGACTTGAATCTCCAATGCAGAATTCGTGCCAAATCGATTCGAATTAATTCATTGAAATTTTTCGCTTCCGCTCGAACTCAATGCGTGCGAGTTGCAAATGTGAAACACACGGTTGATTCTATTACGTGAGCGCGAAAGGCGGTTGTCGCGGGGGCGGCCAAAAGGGTTGCGTCGGCCACCCTTTCGGCAGCGGCCAATTGTCATTAGCGCCGCCGGACTGGCCATTCAGCGCGGCGCGTACCATTCATATCGAATTCGAACTCAATTTGGGGGGCCCGACGCGCAACAGACAATGACAACGAGTGCGCCCGCAGCCGCTCGAAAGGGTTATAAATTTACAGCTTCCGGAACTATTAAAACAATCTAATACAATTTGCTATTTTGCAAATTTACGCTCAAACTATTTCTATAAATAGAACTAAATTTCGAACGAAAGCAAACATTTACACATTATTTAAATCTAGTGTCGATTAAGTAAGTTATGAAATGATCTCGTTGTGGTGTTTAAACAGCTGAAAAAAGATGATATCCAGAAATCGTCGAATTTCCATCCAGTTTGTTTATAAAACATTTCACCCAAGTTGTGTGAAATGTGAATGTTTGCCGGGCGTGTTATGAATTCTGTGCGCGTTCTATTTATCGACTGACTCGCAATGTGCGCCGGAAACTAACTCAAAGCGTTTCGTAGCTAAAATCGATGAAATGTATGATGTTTTATAATCAGCTTTTAAATAAATATTCAACTTCATATACTTGATTATTTAACTCAAATTGCAGTGCGCGTTTAAAAGTAGTTTATTGTGTTTCGCCACCAGTGAAGCAGTCAAACAGTCTTCGATTTAGTTCTCATCCAACGTACGAGCGTGCTAAATTTTTCTCGAATGGAATTTATGTTGCAGTGCGTGTAATCGATGCAAGACGATCACTGAAAACAAGTTTAGCATTTGCGTTGGCATTGCGCGGGTATTTTTCCCTGAATTTGTCCATCGCAAAGAGGTGGTGACTTTTTGAAGACGTATTGACGTCTTGGCAAGTGTTGTTTGCAGGCATTTAGTTTGCACTTTGTTGGCGGTGCGATGTTGGAAAGAAGACTTGGTGTATAAAGTGTACACCGGCCACGACTTGCATGGACGATGATTTGAGTTGATAAATGTTCGAACGTGTATCGGCGCATCTCACGACTCTTCGCCAGGGATGTCAATTACTTCTTGTACTAATATATTAGTTGAGGGCCAATGTCGCGAACCTAGACGACCAATGCTCACTTGAAGTTTTGTAAATTTTTACAAAAAATCTGTTATGTTCACCAAAACATCACATTTTTCAATAAATTATTTTCTGAAATAAAACAAAAGCTTAAAAAAAAACCTTTCTTTGGTTTTATTTATTATTGAATATATTGTGGTAATAAAATCTTCACAACTCCACTGTAACGAAACATAAAGAACGGAAACAAGATAAAAACGTTCGCATCGATATAAAAAAGTGCTTATTGCCATCGACGGTCCATGAGTATGATGAGTAGGAGTCGGCGAAGGAGTCGCAAGAATCCAGCCAAAAACTGGATTCTCAATCATTACAATTTTTTATTTATTTTTGTTTAATTTCATTTACGATTGCATGGCGCACGCAATCGCCGCAGGTCGGGTTGTTTACATTAAAGTTTTTTTTATGATTATCATTAACGCCACGCCACGCACACACCACGCACGCGTCAATAAAATCGACACATTAAAGAATTAAAAGCCAAAAAAATAAAAATAACATGCATACACCGGCGTGGATGATATATCATTAAGTAATCCATCATAAAACATCGAAGAACATTAAATAACTGAGTAAAATACAAAGTTTCAAGGTTTTTACGCGATGCACTGATAGTTAAATTTGTTACTAACTAATAACTTTGATATAAACATGCAAAAATGTGACTGGTACACGAAGAAGCAAACAATTGTCTAAGCAGAAAATGCTCTTAGTTTTATTATGCTGCAAGGTGCATGTTGCTGGTTTATAGGTTAAGTCGCGAAGGTGCGTGCGCACAAGCATTCAAATAACGCGCGAACACTTAACGACAAAAATAAACAACGGCCGAAATGAACGAAATGAAGCTAAGGCAATAATGCGGCCGCGTTAATAATAACGAAATGGTTGTTTTATTGTAGCGCGCGCGCGCGGGCTCGAGTTTTACAAGCGCCCATGCGGTGATGCATGCAAATCGACTTTATTTAAACTATTACCAAGCGTGAGGCGCACGAAACGTGGCAAAATAATTAATTCATTAACGCCGGGGTCATAAAACGAACACTGCAACTTTTTTTTGTGTTGCGGTTAAGGTTTTGTTTTGCGGATTTAAGTTTGCAAATAGGGTTCATACGCATTTTGAATTTCGGTTTTTGCGTTATTTTATGTTCATTGTCAAATGAAGATAATTAAATTAGAACAATTGCAAATCGAGTGAGGAGTTTGTGGCTCGTAAACCGAGCGTGTTCATTAACTCGACTTAAACACAGTGCGTTATGTGCCCATCCAATACCGCGATATCGGTTTTCTTCGGCTCGCCTCTTTGCAAGTCGCTTGCTCATCTCCTGCTCGACCATTGGTTGTCGTAGGCTACACTCCGTCCTCTCGTATTTTAACAATTTCGCTAATAATAAATACACGCGGCTGAAAGACACGCTGAAAAGTATCAGTCGCCCATTAACATCCTTCACGAGGCAATTTGACGTCCCTCTCGTTCCCACTCGGACCGGCGGCGGGCATTTTATAATCGATAAAATTACTCGAGCACGTCAATGCATCTGAATTATGATAATAATTACTTTTAATGCCGAGTGGTTCATGTTACCCTTGACATATTTATTATTGTCGCGAAGTGTGGAGAGACTGTGGAGCGACTGGAGGTTGACTGATGGTCGCCGGATGGAACAGACCTACGTTCTTCGAGCGATGGTCAACAGAGAGATGCAGTGAGAGCAAGGCGGGCGAGTGCGCGTCCAGTCGAGCAGCTAAATGACCATTTTCGAACGACGCCCGCTCACTGCTCTCAACCCCCGGCCGGGACGAGTTGAGTTGGTCAGCGCGCGGTCCAGGTCCTGCAATATTTGCAGCTGTTGCAAATAGAATTGTAGATTGGAATAGAAATGTGCTTGATGGCTACGCTGCTACAACACACCAGACAATCTACACTCGGCGTACAACCAATTTAGTACAATACTACTTCAAAACAAAACCAACACATTGAAAAGACTTCATTTATTAAATAAAACAATTTATTAATTTCTACCCTTTCATTTCAATACCATTGTAGTTATGTGTAGCGAATTTTTAATTTTTGATTGTTCAGAAGTTATGACCAAAAATGTGTTGTCTTCCCCAGCAGGAAAGTAACAGAATTGCTAGTAATATTTGCTGCGGGCTGCCGATATGCAATCATCTCGTGCGAATTGTGTTCGCCAGTGAGCGCCAGCACCCACCCCCGATCATCCCCTGATAGTCGCTGTTTCAGGCGGGGATTCGAGGAAGAGCGCGCTCCGAGTGTGTGATTACCATTAGCGAACGGCTAATGGTAATTGCTGATGATGCCATGGAGATGATTCAGAAACGTCGACGACTACCGCAAATTTACAATAATTAATTACGACTACAATGACAAGGACTAGACTAGAATCCTGTTTCGGTTTAATCAATCTTTGTCTGCACCAATCGAAAAACAACAAAAAAGAAAAAAAAAACATTTCCAGAAAAATTATCAATTTTGGACTTTCGATATAAATAATAAGTTGATTGTGTTACTGAGCCTACAATAGATTAATTAATAAACAACAAGAAACAAAAATGGTAAAATTTTAATTTTAGACCGTTAGGTCTTTAGATGTAAGATTGACTTTGCAGAAATCTTGAATGAAATGTGTTTGAGTTCATTGCAACGGTTGTTTATGATTGAGAATAGACATAACGCGTTCGCGGTTTGACGCGCACTCATTCCCCGGCCATTACGCGCGCTTTACTTTTGTCTTCTCGGTCGTCTGGCCGTTCGACTGCCAACGGCAGTGACCTTGCGCAGGTGTGCCATACTGGACCGACAGCATTCCGTTTTGCTACCAATATCTTTATATACAGCGTGATCATCAGAACCCATCAAACATACTTCAGTAATAGTTTTCATGTTTTATAACCTTTAAAATCTACTAAATCAAGTATATTTGGTAGCCTACCTAATAATATTTATATCTAATGGCTGGCATGTAATGAAATTTGGAATCGTTCCGAAAGCCGGCCTTCGGACACTGGAAGGTGGCTCGCGTTCTGTATAAATCTTAATAAAGCGGCAGATATGTGGTGATAAATCCCCATTTCTCTTTGAGATACGTCCTCATTAATCCTCGCCGGACGCGTCCGTTCGCAAGCGCGCGCATTCTGAGCCGGCTGCATCCGCCATGTTTCATCCGAAGGCGGCAAACGCCACCACCGCGCACCTACATCCCTCTGGAAACTCAAATATATATCACATTTTATATGAAGAACGAAATTTATATCTAAAATGCTTTTAATTCTAAATGCTTTAAAATCATTTTATGACTTAAGTCATAAAAACCAATTCTTTGTTTCGTCTTTTGTGTTAAACATGATTACCATGAACTTCGTAACAACATAAACAGTTATTCGTTGTTAGTTGTAATCATGTCACTCTTGGTTGAATATTTGTCGGTTAAGAAGCTTCAATGCAAAGAAATGACACTGACACCGACACCGGAAATGTACCAAAGAAATAGTTGCGCATAAATAAAGTAACGAGCTAAAAATCTAAGTACATATTCTAAGTAGATGCTAAGTAGCATTAGTGGGTACTTATTGCACTTAGATGTGAGTCCATGCATGACAATTATGATGAAAATCCATTAAGTAATCTCCACCTAACCTCAAATTCAAAACAATCAACAACAGTTTTATCTAAAAACAAGAACAATATAAGATTTATGTTGATTCCATTTGATGGTCAATCTTTTTTTCAATATAGAATTTTTTATTGGTAGGGTGAATTTATTACTGAATTATTTATCAACCAGTCGATTTCATATCGGTCATGCTCGGCTTGATCATGCTTTTTGATACAGTAGGGAAAATGTGTTCACCTATATTTAATAAATTATTAATGAATTCACAAATGTTCATTCATTGAAGCGTTGCACCCCTTGAAAATTATTGTTATTTACTGTATATATTTATTATAAATTAATAATTTTGTAATTTTTGTAGTTGTTTTAAACTAACAATTGATTTTATTATGTAAGTGTGAAAAATCTAACTGCGCATTATTATAACACTTTTTTGTACTTCCGCATTAGATGCAAAACAAATTGTGACAAAAGCCATTGTCCAAGCTCACCTCTAAACCGCTATTGTTACAGAAATTATAGAATAAAAAATGACAAATAATTCGAATTATCATATCAATGTTGCGAGCGTTATAATAAGCGTCATTGAGTGTGACTAAACTGCTCAGCGACGAGCGACGCAATAAAAAATGCTCATTTGTGGTGAACAATACAAATAATAAATTGGACAACATGAATGACACGACCTTGCATAATAAATTACTATACAAAGTCTTCTAAACAAATCTAACATCAAAAATAACACACATTTCGTTCACTTGTTTACAAAGATTATTTTGTATGTTAATAAAATTGTCTTTTGTATATGGCTGACGCCATCTCATGACAAAATTAAAAAGTAGAACGGAAATGTTCATTCAGCAAAAAATCCCGATTCACTTTGTATTGTAAATTACATTGTAAATGAGTTTCGTTATCCCATTATGAATAAATATTAGAAGAACAATGCCAGTGATAATCGAACACTCGAACGCTACAAGAATGGTTGCGAGGTTCGCAGGCTCGATTCGGTTACACGTGCGCATCGATATGGAACCGAATCGTTTCGTGCAGTTCCGGTTCGTATTATATCTATTAAGAATGCATGGATATCCGGTGTGCAACCTGCGGACTCACAACCTCAACCTGCGAGCCGGCGACCGATCCCTAGACTGTTATTCAATCTCCAATATTCATTCGCGCTCCCATCGCCTGCATCTATGATTTAATTTCGAATCAAAACTTCACTCCCCGAACATATCAATAACAAATACGCTACTTAATGACGGCGCCATTGTCGGTGCTGAATAGATGATCGATTACAAGCGCTGCTATTGAAAGTCGCGGGGCTTGACCATCGATCAAAATGATTAAAATGGTTATCATTCAAAGTTCAAACGACGAAAATAAATACATAATAAAAACTGAAAAGTTATTTCCTCTTTGTGGCCAATGTCATGCGGTCATGCTGTGTTTATTTCCAGAGATTAATTTGCCATGCCTTGTTCATTACGTCGTTGCGTAACTCTTGTGTATATACTTTAATTGTTTGGCGCGATAATAAAAATCGAATTATAATAAAAATAATGTGGCATCGGTTCGCATTGGTCTGTGGATTGTTATTTTGTTGGCACAAACAAATAAAAGCGCGGAATGGAAGAAAAAACATAAATTTCTCATTTAGTCGCGTTGTGGAACCGCGGTCGACTTTCTTTAATGCGTTTGTTTCATTTAATGGTAGCGAAGGAGAAGTTTCAATAGTTTTACATTTTACATGTTCATTTTAATATGGGCAATGCCAATGCAAATAGAAAATAACTCGATTTAATTGCGTTTTGCGGTGAGCATTGTTTATTTTATATGCATGCAATATCCGCTTAAATTACTCAAGAATCAACTAATGAGCATTTTAAAAAACAATTTTGAAATGTGTTTTAATAAATTGAATAAGAACTTTAGGAAAATCCAGATAATTTTTTTGTTTCTTTTCCGACATGTAACCTACTAATCAGCTGTCATTCATGACAGTTTGTTACATAAGTTTTAGGTTAAGTCCGAGAACCATGCACTAATTCGAGTAATTTTCACATTACGTAGGAGTATAATTACGCCATTTCCTTTTCGACTTGAATTTGAGAATTTGTAAGTATATCGGTTTTAATTTCTTGCCTCTTATGGGAAAATATCCAACATCCGCTCGCTGGCGCGCGAGATTGAAATAAAGCGCAAAAAATATAATGCTCGGCGGGCGCAAAGTACACTTCTTTGTTCGTGTTCCCCGGCCTGTCTATTATGTTGCAAATTATTTGCTTGACTGCTCTCTTATTTCGCGCGCGCGCGCGGCAACGTTTGTCTCGAAACGAAATTGATAGTGATGGACACTTTGCGTCCAGCCACCGCGATTGCGATTGCGACCGCCCGCTCTTCTTCGTGAAAATCTTGTGCGCATGTGAGCTGTGTGAGCCGCTTCGGACACGACACGTCAAGCGGCCCCAGAGTTGAATTCGATGGCAAGTGCAAGTGCAAGTGCAAATCTGCACTGTGAGTGTATGTGTGTTGCGCTGAAGAAATTGCATGTGAAAAACAAGAACAAGAAGAAGCAGAAGAAACAACTAATCGTCCTTTTGACTGCGCATTTCTTCCTTTTTGTTTCACTGCCGTGATGTTGTTTTGTTTATTTTTTTCTTCATCGCGCTGGATTCGTGGTGTTCGTGTCGTGTCGGTTAGTTTGGTTGTTTTCGTCGTTGTTCTCGCGCGCAAGAAACGGTTCATGCTCAGTCACTCTCGGTGCAGGGCTGTTATTTACAAGACTTAATTATCGGTTTGCGGTTTGCATTCGTCGTCGGCGATGCGCGTGGTTTTTTTTTGTGCACTGGTTGCGCGCCTGTACACTATTGGTCCGCAAGTCACTAGAGACGCACGAGGCATTGGCGGAATATAAAAATATTATGATTATACTTGCACTCAGGACGAGTGAGTGCTCTGCGGCCATTTCTGTTTTTATGTGACTTTTAAGTGACTTAAAAACACGCCAACCGTCCATCACCCAGCACACAATGCACGAACAGAACTAATTATGAGAACATTTTCGATTTCAACTTTAACCTAGCAATCAAGCAAATTCGCCAAGAGATGGCGTTGGTGTATCATTAAAATGGTACCATTTAAATATGTTTGTGAAAAAAAAACAAGGGAAACTGGAGTGTGTGAGCCGGACAGCTGGACGTTGCTGATGAGTACATCTGGCCACGATTCGTCTCGACGATTGGCAAACCCTCTAGGTCTAGGAAAACCAGGAACCCTTCATTCGCATTCACGTCGACCGTCGAGAATGCGAATCTTCTCATTCTCGTTTCGACGGTTCACGTTTCCTCTACGTTTGCTTCGTACCCAGCCCGCTGCTAATGATCTATTTGTCCTAAATATTTCCGAACCCCATGCTCGGACACGGCAAACACACGCGCTGAATTTCGAATTGCTCACGCATTCACGCATTCATCGTTTAAACGCTTCCTACATGACCTCTGCCATCATCAACAACATCAACATCAAACGCAGCAACAAATTCATCCGGTTTAACACAATTAAAACACACAAATACAACGTATGCAACTTTTGTAACACATCATAACCTAATTTCTTTACTTTAAAAGAATGCTCCTTTCAAATGTGTTGTTTATTCAGTGTTACAGTTTCCGACATGTTTGGGTCTGAGTGTGATCGCATAATTGCCGCCCTGGCTCCGAAAATAATTGTTCCCAACGTGCGCTAGCCCCGCTCGGAATTACAACCAACACGCTCGGAATTATAACGTAGTTTAGAGAGGAGGAACAATAATACTAAATACTAAATACACGGTAATATATGTCCGGGTTTACAAGCGTAAACCCTTTCGGCCCCCTCGTGTGAAATTAGTGCAGAAATGTTACACCTCATAGCCATTATGAGCAATTTGTACTTCCCGTACCGAACCGAACGGCGCGACGCGATGCGAGCTTATAGTTATAGGTCGGGGCTCGCGTTCTTTGGCAGCGTCTGCAAATCGAGAGATGGTCGCTCTTTATTCCCGGATATTCGCTGCTAATGTTACACACGCTCCGCGCGTCCACTCATCGCACTCGGACAGAAAGGGGAGGCCCACTAATTGGCTCTGCTTGCTGCATTTAGTGTATTTTCTACATTTCCATGAATTTTCCTTCCCTGTGTGCTCATTAATGTTTTAAAGCATGTATCCGTACAATTAAATAGAAGCAATATGACATTTGTCAGTTTTTAATACAAGATGAAACAGTTTTTGTAACATAACCTCAATTCTGGTCTATTACATATTGTTTTGTCGTTTTCTGTAGTTCTAACTTGTTTCTTGGTCGCTTTGAGTCGATTTTACTTAATTTAGCTTTGTTTCGACTCCGTCCGCTTCACATGCAGATCGAATCGCACGATAGGCGTGTGGGTGCAGCGCGATAAGCCCACAAGAACCTAAGTTCAAGTTTAAACTCCAATTATTACACGCACATCAAATGCACGCGGCGTGGCGTTACGTGCTGCTTGCGCGCGCGTTCGAGGAAACTAATTTTTAAATTTTATTATTAATCGTCCGCTTCCTCGCTCTTCTTGGCCCTACACTACACCTTGGACGAATTCGTGCGTTTTATCAGGCACTTCACGCCAAAGCGCGCGCGCACGCGAGCCGGATTCATTTATCATTTAAATCTTGAAATTATTTTCGTGGGAACAGCATGTTTTTACACCACAAAACATAAACTTTTATTGGTGAAAAATACTAGTTTAGTTGATTATTAAGGTTAGGCTGTAAAATCTTATAGGAAATTGTAAATTCTGTACTTAAATGTAAATGGTTGTGTTGGATTCGCGGCAGATGCGAAAGCAAACCGAGTTGGCGCACGATTTTGCACAAATATCACGAACCTCCAATTATCAAATTATGCAAATGTCATTGAGTCTCTTATGCGCCTATGACGTGCCGCGCGCGAGGATTGTTTTAATATGCGCTCGTGGATTCGAAAGGAAAAGGGCGGCTTGATTCGATTAGTCGATTATTTAGTCATTCCGTGTGCCGCCGCATTGTCAGACAACTCGGGCACGAACTATAAAGGATAAAACGCTTTAAAACGACATTTTCAAACCTTACGAATTCACAAATCGATTATTTTATCAAAAACTATCTAGACACATCTACATAACAGCTAAAAATTGAGGTTATGATACTTGAAATTTTGTTACAACTTGTGTTTTTTTTATGTTAAACATTGAAATTAATATCCCAGGAAGAGTTACAATTAAATTTCTGTCTGTATCACATGACAACGTGTGTTGCAGGTGAATAATTCGCGCCGATGATGAAAAATAGGAAGCCTTAGTCTGCGACGGAAATTAATGTCAACGATATGTGTGTGATAGGAAGCAGAAGCAAGTCGTAACCAGCAAAGGAAGGAAGAAACTATCAAATTAATGCTTTGTTTGCTCAGATACATATTCAACTAGACATTGTTTGGTTTTGTCACAGATTAAACCGAAAAAATAAAAATGTCTCCGCAGCGGACGTTGATGTGGTAGAAGGGTTTACGAAGAGAGTATCCACGAAGGTATCGGAATGTTTGGACGCGGGCGCGTCTTTTTGTGCATGTGCGCGCTGTGGGAACAGAAACCAAGGGATACAGCGACACGACGAAGACGACAATGAATGAAACCGAATATTTTCGCTGCCAAAAGGTATTTTAATTTCGAGTAGAAAATCCGAGCGACCTAAAACAAAAAGACCGGGTATGGGTGGGACAGCGAGTTAATATTTACGACTGAGAATATTTTCTTTCCACTGCAGCGGACGACAACTAGACTCCGACGAATGGTCATAATAAAAATAATACAGGTTTTTATTTATTGGCTTTTTGAAATATTTTTCGTGGCGGTTAGAACAAACAAACCTGCACTTGTGATCCAACATAAATCAAAGTTAATTTTACCGATCAGATGATCAGATATAAAAATATTATTTTTAAAAATATATATAAAAATGTTTGATTTGGAGAATATCTCAATTCTTGCAAAATTTGTTGAAAAATTTAAATTGAAATGTTTTAGCCAAAACTATCAATTTTAAAACGCCTTAATCTACTTAGTAAAACGTAGGCGCACATTTTGTGCGCCCAGCACGAACGATAATAAAAAGCCAACGGGCGGTCCGATTAATAACGTCCGCGCGGCGCTTTTAAATTCGATGATATTAATGATCCATTCCGGGCACGGACAGATTGAAACGTGTGCGCTAAGCCCAGTACCAAAGCCTGCGTGCTCTCTGTCTCGCATCCACAGCATCCCGGCCTGCGACAAGGCGCCGCCCGGTGAGATTCGGAAGTGACGGACGGGAATTATTACGCCGTAATTACATATCCCGTGAACGGCGGGGCGCTGTCGTCAGGGAGCTCGCGATCGCCTGCTTACCTCCTGCGGCGCGGACAAATCCCATTGCGCGTGGATCCTGCACGATTCATTTATACTACATCCACAAAACGCAAAAAAACAAACATAAAAGTATATTGCTAGTCCGAAAATATAACTCAAAAAAGTAAAATATTGAGTTCATTTTTTCAAGTTTTATTTTTAAAGCTAATTACCCGTTTAGGTTAATCTCTTGATCTGTTCATCCTCAACGTTCCCACAATACACTCTTCGATAGCACACGACCAGTAATGCAAATGCCTAATAAATAACGAGATTTACCCCGTTCTCGATATTTCTCGCGCCGGATTTGCTCGCGCGATAAGTTTTCCAGAAATGTGGCAGCCGCACGCCGAAACCATAACAAGCGCGGGTGCGGTGCGGTGGTGTTTACACAAAAGCGCGTGTTCCTTACATAAATATCTGGCTTACTTAGCGAGCGTGTTATTGCCATCGTGCCACCGGCGGTAAATATTCGGTTGGCTCGTCACAGCGTCACTCATATTCTAACTACCAGGAGACGTGCCACGATAACACAAACACCCGACAGCAGACACCAAGCAAGGGTTGAGAATCTCCCTTTCCTGTTCCTTGCTTACAATATTATACTCTATAACACTACTTAAACTAGTCATAGTCTAATATATTTAAAGGTTATGTGTTGAATATTTTGTGGCGTTGATTATCCTCACTGTAGTTACATTATTAGTATAGTTGGTATCTATTTGTACGTGAATAGCAATGAATAGATGAATACCGAAGAGATACAAGATATGAGCACAGAGCGCACGCATTTACCAACTGCGTTCGCGGACGAGTTATGTGTTCATCGTCGCATCCCCCGTCGCGCCCCCGCACAAACTCGACATCCCATATCACTGTGCCGCATAACCCTATCGCCGCACCGCAAACCGGAAGATGCGAGAGCGCCAAGGGGTGGAACGCATGCCGCCGCCGTGTGTGCCAACGAATTTATTACGCGCACGCACGCTAACAAAATATTTATAATTATTTCATCACGTTTTCATTTCGTAACCAAAACATACACATACTCATCTCCCCTTAATCTCATATCCAGGGCGTGGTATTTCCTGTTAGTTAAACAACATAATCTCAAATGTCATATGTGACATCATCAACTTCAGTTGAACGTTACCATACTGCTCTAGCATAATAAACGATTTATTTATATATCGTGTACAAAATGCATTATTCATGGTATTATTATTAATTCAATTTCTTCACGACGCATTCATGTTTCGTAAGGCGCGACGAGAGCTACAGATGTGATTTTTAATAACGAACACAATCGATCGAAGAGAAGGGCGGCGGCGAAGGGCAACGCGCGTTTGTCGGCAATAAATATCCGCCGATTATAATAATTCAAGTGTTAGCGAGTGCGCGAATGATTTGTTGGGCGTGCAGCGCGATTTATCGTCTTATTATCGTTTATTATTTGATGTGTTTGACCTCGGAATGTTTTATATTCTCATGTTTAACTCAATGGATCATTGACAGCCGCCAGGTTATGTTAAAATATCACTAGTGACATCTCTCGTAAGTACTTAAAGAATTAATAATTAACTCGATTGTGGCGTAATAATTTAGATGTCTGCGCAAGAAATTGAACTGTATACTCTATATACCCTTTGATACTTTGATACTAGCCCTGGAAAAGGGTTAACTTTTTGAAAGGGTAATTACGACCGGGCTCGCTGCGTTTCTAATTGGAAAAAGTCTCCGCTTTTGTCGGTTTGATATTAAAATGTTTCTTGGAATGTTCTATGACGATCTCACTCTTCCGCCAACGCGCACCAATGTAAGAAAGGGTCCTTCTTCGCGATGGCTTGTTTAAAAAAGTTCTTCGGCGTAAATTAGGGCCGCGCCTCGACGAGATTTAAAATATCGCCGCAGAAATGTACACGGACGGAGGCGATTAATTTAATTTAATAGCGCACCGGACGCACCAACAACAAACAACCTCCGCGCCAAGAAGCGGGGCGCAGAAGACGCTGCAGCGAGAAGAGAAGTATGAGCACGAAAAACCGGAGGACAAAAAAAACTTTTCCGTTTTGGGCTGTCGCTTCGAGTTTGCATTCGTGTTTGTTATTTCTTTGCTGATTCTTTTTTGTGTGTCTTTTTATTATTTTCCTCTGGTCCTCGAGAAGCGGCGGGGGTGGTGGCATTCCAGGACTTGGCCTCGCTTTGTATATTTATGCCGTGTTATCTTAGAAATTACGAATTTAAAAAAAAGTGCGGCTGTGTAAGAAGTATATAAGGGAGAGTTGCGTCGTTTTCACGCGGAGGTGGTGGAGGTGGTGGAGGTGGAGGCGGCAGATGCCGGCAAACGAATGGCCAGAGCCCTTGAATAAATCGCTTTAATTATGTTTATGCGAATGAAATTAAAACTTTTAAATTAATCTCGACAATTTTTATCGTTCTTTGTTTAATTATATATATTTAACTTAATTAACTTTTTTCGCAGCAAAATTCTAAAACAAATCCAAAACATACAATGTGTTCAATATTTACTTGGTATTTTTAATTTTTTGCTGAATAAATCAAATTGATAGTGCTTTGTATCAACATTTAACAGTTTATGCCAACATTTGCGACACGCTGGCCTGACACATAATCCCGTGCGCTTGTCGCCGGCGCAGTAGCGCGCGTTCGCGTTGTTTGATGATGAAAATCTAATCAAAACCGATTACTATGATGTTTTGACTGAGCGGAGCGGACCGCGTGTTTGCGCGGGCGTCGAGCACAAGCGCTGATTAAAACCCTTTGTGCGTTTCGCTGCGCTCTCGCCATTAGGGGCACTGCGCGCCCTGAAACTCATCACAATCATCACCGCACCGAACTACTCAATGCCTCGCGCCTGAACTCTACTGAACTCGCCTAAATTTAGTACAAAACGATAGAAAGATTATAGAGTTACTTTGACCACAATAAAAGTTACTATAGACAAATTTACTGTGGAGTTGAAAAAAAATTAATTGTTAAACCATTCGATTGCAGTTTACCGTAATCGGCAAAATCACAAGAATTTGTATGCAAATTATCAATAGATATATGCCAAAGGTAGGCATTACGAGTATACCGCACACATTATTTATTTCTGCTAAATTGACTTGACTTCTTGCTATTTTGTTCATGTAGCATTTCTTGTGCTGTTTGTTTTTGTCAACCACACAATGCACAGTTAGTTCGAACACAGAACCTAAACTACTGACTGCTGGCATTAATACCAGAATACACCAAGTGTTGGAAGTGAATAGTTAAATAAAGCATTAGTTTTATGCAATAAGTAATAAGTAAATAAGTATGAACATTTTGCGTGGTTTATGCGTCCGTGAAAAATCGTGCACTGCGCGACATATGCACATAAACAATGCATCGATAAATAATCGTGCGGTAGCGCAACAGTAGCGCATAAAATGCGCGCAAACACATTATTCATACATTAATTATTGCAAAACGTAATAGCGAATAAATGCATTGACTAACAATGACAGACACACATGATTATTGTGTTCAACAATGATTATCAACTTTATTGTTTACACTACCGATGAAGTTCGTAACAAATACTTATATACATTGTTACATGATTATTAAAATTTATTACTTACAATTTATCAGAGGTATAATTTTAAATTGAGCCCCAATTAGTAGAATTACCAAAAATATTTGCTTAATAAATTTGTAAACGACAAAATTCACTTTGTTATCCCCCCACGTTCCGTTCATTTTTTTATGCTTTGCCACGGCTTTGTCAAAAGTTCGCCCCGAATCTAATTCCTCCCGACGTCGAAGCCCACGAATAAAGCTTAATTCGCAAAATTCTAAATGTGCGTCCCCAGCCGCGCGGTGAGTAAAAACGCGAGTTGCGTCCGAGTCTCGAGCTGGATGGCCGAAAATCCGTTAAACAAATACGACTCGTGGATACCTGTGCCGTGTGTGATGTCAGCAAAACATTTCAAACTCGTAACAAAAAACATTCCCTTTTTTTTAACATACCGGCTCTTGCGCACCTTGCACGAATTTACTAATTGTATATTTGTTTTCGACTTTTCGCATTTTCGTATGTTCACAATCACATACATCACAATTGGTTACCATCACCATCACCATGAAAAAGAGTAAAATGTTTAACGAAAGTCATTTGGATTCAGAGTTTTTACACTTGCAAAGGGTTTAAACGTCGAAAAAAAAGGGTTGTCCAAAAACGTCGATGCATAAAGTTATGCTGTTGTTATACTATTCTGGGACTAAGGGTGAATTACATGATAAATTAACCAATCTGCCTCGTGCATCATCTCTTCACCCTCAGTCCCCCACAATCCTTGCGCTTGAAGCACTTGCAGCATTCACGTTAAATACAATACATACCCACACACATATAGCTTTAATTTTAAACAATGTAACTTAATGAAATCGAGTTTGAAAACGGGTTGAATTAGGCGGGGCGATGTTGTAATACGTTTATGCCGCGAAGGTGGTACGTGTCTGGCATGAAAGCGACGAATTCCGCTTGCATCTCGCGAGGTTTGATCAGCGCGTACATCTTCGCGAGAATTGTGAGCGTTTGCGAACATTGTGCGAGCTAACCGGAAAACCCGTCAACGTGGGAAATGTGGCAACGTAGCGACGTGGAAAACGGTAGGCCTTTATGGAGATTAAGATGAAAATTTCGCATGCGGCACGCGGAACTTGTTTCGTTTTGTGGGCGCAACTCCGAACGCAACCCATGAATGTCTAACCATCTAACGAACACCGGAATATTGCTAAATGCTATCCGTTAAAATGTGCTTCAATTCTAAATATTCTCACCTAATTTGTAGAAATATTATCTAAATCACAGAAATGTATTAATTTTGATTTTTTGCGAATGGCAACGCTGCACGAATACGAAAGAAAACATGCGCATAATACAAAGAATGTCAAACATCACACACTGCATTCAATAGGTCGATAAATTATATTTTTGTCCATTGTGCACGCAGAAAATTAATTTAATTCAATTTAAAACTACGAAATCACTTTGTATTATGAAATCTAATGTCGTGTTTAGCAATTTTCTCGTTTTACTTCAATTGATTTTATCCATTGTTTGCGATAATTTGTATAATTGGCTACCATGAATGCAAAATAAAAAAGAAAAATCACAAAAGCGCATAAGTCCGAATCGATAATCGACAACATTAATTCAATTATCATTTAATAATGCGCTATGCACACAACACACATTCGTGCATTTCTATAGCCACAACTCGTTTACAGCACTTCTAATACGTCGCTGTCGATTGTGAATTTCAATTCGCAAAACAATGAAAGATATTATTTCTACTTGGTTGCTTTATGTACGCCGCCGTGAGACGTTATTAAATATGGCGGCGCGGCACGATAAATAACTCAAAGCGTTGACGCAAGGTGGAGGCGCGCGGAGGAGAATCCGGAGAATTGTGCAAAACGCGAGATTTGTTCGCAATGATAATAACTTAATAAACACTATAAATTGCAGGTGCATTTATGTAATGCGGCGTGAGCGTTGCGATGCATATGAGCACGATGATTGTGTAAGTTTTTTTTTTATTATTTCTATTCGGCCGCAAACATTCATAAATCGTTATGGAAAATCGTGTAAATCATGCAAATCGACGGGTATTATGTTTGTACAATGTTAGCTTATTCATGTACCATCGTAGATTCATCGAATATTCATAATTTACATTATCATTATCATTCCATGTACAAAATATGCAAAGAATCAAACATTTTTGTATTTAATTTTATTTTAATTTGTCGGATTTTAAAATAAAAAATTGAAAATTGAAGTAAATTTAAGAATAAGAACATTTCATTCAATATTCACTTAGCAAAAATTATAAAAGAATACATAACTTGTTTATTTCTGTGAATTGGCGGCTGGTGTGTGTGAAAACGTTTTGCTTTTGTCGTGTATGACGATTTTGCGGTTTGTAACCGGCACGTTTCAGCAACATACAGCAACACACACAAATCGATCAAAGAGCCTCCGAAGGTTAAATCGAACAGAAGTGCGCCGCGAAAAGGTTTCACCCCTCGGCGCGCGGCCGGTCAGCGAGCATATGGGGTGGCAAGTGCGCGAGTTTTTTCCCGTTCCGGGTAAAAACGGTAAAAAGTCATAGGGCAGGCCATCTATGTGAAGACTGACCAAACATGCATTGACTTTTCATGCGGGGCGCGCTTCTCACAAAAAATCGCGAGCGCTTGCCGGTGGCGACTCGCAACGATAAAAACCACGAACAAATGAATAAATTATTTTTTCCTGCCAATGATTCACTTTGCTGAATCAAAAAATAAAACAAAATCTCTTATTTTTTATTAAAAAATTGCTGTATGGGTTTTTTAATGTAAAAATGTGACTTGATATCATATTGACAAATCACCTACATAGGTTTGTAAAACGACGACGTTAAATACCACCTACGATGATTATATTCGCGTCGATGAGCGAAATTAATTAAGATTATTAAGCCTCGCATTCGCTTTGGCAAAAGTTGAGTTGCGGCCTGGTGGGATGGGAGATAATGAGACATTCTTTGATGTCCGTTTTTAATGAAACTGAATTTAGCATTTTGTTTGCGGAGCGTGAACGGTCGAGGAAAGTTGGTATCGGATGAAGACATGAAGACATTCACAAATTGCTATTTTTAAGAGCAACAGAAAGACAGAAAAGGCGATAAAAAGCAACCAGTGTGACCTGTGTGCGTAAATAATTTTAGTCGCGATGGTGGACGACGTCTGGGATGACAAGTTTCGCCACTTTACAAGCAACATGCAAACATAAAGATAAAAGTGAAAGAATAACACAGGGAAGACAAACGAACTTTCTGCAAGGTGCATGTTAGTTTTTACTTCGACACATTTAAAAATTGGATTTTCTTAATTTAAACCAAAATATCACAAAATCAATCCTTTTCATATTAGTAAGGTTAAATTAATTTATTTATTCCGTACGTCTTAAAATAGTGATTTGATTGGTAAATAGATAAACCTGATTTGATGTCATTTCCGTTCTTTTCCTTTTCTTTTCCTACATCATTTCTTTTTTATCTGCTTCGAATGTTGAAATGTAACAATTAAATTGATTTAAGACACCAAACATCTCAAACTTTTTATGCCTGCATGCATTCGCCCGACCATGAAACTGAAACGATGTTGATTTTAAGATTTTCGGTTTGATTTCTTTTTTTTTTTTAGTTGATTTCTGAACTTTTTTCACGTTTAACTGCATATGGATGAAGATGATTCTATTTTATTTTTTGGTTTTTAGGTAATAGTGATCACCCTCGCGTGATCACCCATACACGGGTTGACTATAAATTATCCACCTCGAATCGGACATTGTGACACTTGCATCGCCATCGGCATCTTATTACCTTGTATAACTCAACGCTGCACGCAGGAAAGGCAATAGGTATATGGGAACGGGTGTGGTTGGGATGCGGCTCGGATGAGTATCTAATTATCACCTAAAATCGAAAATTTATACGCCCGGCGGCATAGAAAACAAACAAAACCCAAGCTTTTTATGGATTTATATCTTTCAAGATCGAATTTCTTTTGTTTTCGATGTTTCATTCATTCAGTCCGTAGAGATTTCATTCATAAACACTAAAAACACACGAATAAATTTTGATTTTAATTTAAACTTTGTAGATTTCGAATTAATGACGGAAAATTGTCCAAACTAGCGTAGTTAAGCTCGTCTCTGCTTTACCCTTATACTCGTGGCCCTTTCTGTCGTCGAGGGTGCGTTGTGGTGGTCGTTGGTCAAGCGCCTTAACTCCTCCAATCGTTAAGTAAAGACGACGACGACGGCGACGATGTGGTGGCCAAGAGGAAACTTGTAACACGGTGTTGGGCAAACTTGCGACAAGAAACTTAAATTGGGCGACGCGCCGCAAGACCTTTGACGACATAATTAAAGTTGATATTCGATGCTAATCAATCGGCACTGGCCACCAACTTCAATAAAACTTCATAATTTATCCAAGCAACTGAATTTTCAGATGCTTGATTTTATATATTTTCATATTTTTTATAAGTAGCGTCTCATGTGCGAGTATTTCTGGGTCGACGCAATATTTACCACCCTTATATAATCCAAGGTCTCTAGGGATTTCCACCCCCGGTTATGAAATATCATATCACGCCGCCGCCCTCCAATCGCCGCTCTCGTTTGTACTGCCCTTCGGCGGCGCAAAAGTACATAAAGTTATATAACACTCCATAACTCTATATAATTATATCAAAGGGGCGGTTTCCTGGGCGCGACCATATCTAATGAGATTTTCCCCTCAAAACAAAAATTACTTATTTTGAATGTGTTGTTAGCTTTTCATCGAAGTTGGTCGCCATAAAAGATTCAAATTATAAATGACGACTTTAAGTAGTCGCCAGGAGTAACTTTGAGTAACTTCTCCATCGAACAGAAGCAAACAAGAAGCCCGAAGAGTCGTAAAAATCAATTAAGAACGGGGTGCCACCGCGTCCGCATCTACGTCCCCCTAATATTTTTCTTCGGCGCGTTGTGATTGTGAAGTTGGCAGCTAAAAAAGTGGCCGACTGCGACGCTGCATAATTAACGAGCCATTTAAATTGATTGTTTTATAAATCAACGCACGGCGCGCAGCCAGCGCCAGCTTTTTATCGGTTATGTTAATTTTTATTTAAAAATTATGCAAATGTGGGCTTTCCCGTTTTTAGTCGGAATCCGATCGGGTCGTTCTTCTTCTCATCGAGAGCGCTTAGCGACCTCGCATTCGTCGCCGTAATTAGTACATTTTTTTCAGATTAATGTGCAGCAATCAAGGAAATAAATTTCAGCTACCTGAAAAAGGCATTTGAGTAAAACTTTGACTTATGTTGATTGTTTTTACCAAAAACACTTTAAATGCCCAACTTTTGTTTTATGATTTACTGATAATATTTTTAACGAAAATAATATTTAACTTTTATTTTATGTTTTTTTTGTTGCTTGAAAGTCTTTCTTTATTTCTTCTTTTTTTGCGATGGTTATCGACTCATTTGTAGCGACTTTTACAAGGGTACAACAACAAAAGATTTATACGTCGTCTGTGAGCATCTCTTCCTACTTTTATCTATCGCCAACTAAGTACACTAGGGACGAGGCTCTCGTTTCGTCTCCAACCGTCGAAGGAAAGTAGAAAGATGAAATGAAATGAAATGAAATGGGATTGACGTTTCTAGTGAGCCTTCAGACTCAAAACCAACCAAGCTATCGGCTGATGTTGCGAATAAAAGTGCAGAAACTTGAGGTGAAATCATGAAATGCACCTTGCAACTTTTATCTTTTGATCAAAAACGAAACAGACACAACTTTTGATATTTGCTATTTTCGAACTTAAATTATTAGTTTTAGAGAAATTAACATGAATATTTAAAGACAAATATTATGCGTATTCATAAATGCAATTTACGTTTTTTTTTTGTTTTTTTTTTTTAATAAAAACTCAACGATTTATGCATACACCTAATAAATAAGTAATTTACACAGCGTGAATGGAAACACAATAGGCCACACGATTTGCATAATAGAACGCAACCGGTAGTTGCAGCGTATCAATGGGACAATAATTTCGCCGAAAGCATAAATCCAGTTTTGCATTTTACATAACTATTTATGAAACATTAATTAAATATTAGCATAGAGAGGAAACAACACCGTAACGCCGCGCGCTCGGACATCGAACGACCATGTTGAACATGCACATAATCTCGGCGCGCGTGTATTGTTTAAAAATTTACGACCGCGCCGCTGATTTTATTTATTTATTTATCTATCGAACGCGCGCTTATAAAAATGAAACCGGATGGATTTTATCTCATCATATACCATTTTTTATACGCGTTGTGCGCGATGTTTTCATATTCAAATTTGTGTATTTCCTTTCATGTTTTGTCTGCGTTTTATATATTTTTTGATCCGCTCGTCGGATGAAAATCGGGCGAGTGATTTATGAACTCATAATGATGATAAAAACGTGTAAAAAACCTATAATTACTTCATTCGCCATTGCATATACTCTCCGGTAAGCACTTTTGTTTGTGGAGGACAAACAAAATCTACGGCTCGTTTGTTTTCGTTTTTTGAATTATAATTTGAATTTGAATTTAAATTTGAATATCATTGGTGCGATTATTATCGCTTGTTATTATGATAAATAGACGAAAATAAAAGCTTTTGTGTTGGAAATTAAATTCAATTACAAGCGGGGTTTTTATGCGTGTTTTTAAAATGTGCTTAAATTTATAATAGTAAATAGTTAATTACCTACGTCTGTTAAAACTACGAATTTCAAGGCATCACTACAAGTCATTTCGTTTTATTACTTAATGCATTATAATAAATGTAAAAAACGTTTTCCCCTCATTTTTAGGAAACAAAAAGTTTATTTTTAGCATAAAACACATTCGACGCACTTGATTTATTTGTAGTTAAACCTTGTGTAAAATTATTATTACCACCAAAAATTGACATGAACAAGTACGGATTGCCTTTTGTTTCCCAAATCCGAATATTGTTATGTTTTAGTACAATCTTATCTTTTTAATGGTTTCCATTACACAAATATAATATTAAGACCTGTATTTTTTGAACAGTATCAATTTTTTGCATTGTGTGACGTGGATGGTGGTGGCAATAAACAATGCAAACATTAAGATACGTGCATAAAAGCGCAATACGCTTATCTATGGTGCGCTCTCTCGACGTATGGAAATTAAAAACAATATTACGTGCATCTCCCTGCATCGAGAAAATAAAAGCCGCTAAACTAAAAACAAAAAAACCGAAAAAGACGCTGGCGACCAAGAATCGATTCTCGGTAATGTGTATTGAGCCCATATTATATCCGAGACGGCCTCGACGACAGTCGTGTGCGTATCGCGTATAATAAAGTAGGATTTATCTCGTTGCGACGAATAACTATAACATTATTTATAAGCACCAACATCGCGGTAAATAGGGAATTAAGGAATCAACAGCACAAAAATTAAAATACTGGGTGTTTAAATATTAAAGTTATAGCAAATATTTGGATATGAATTTTAATTTTTTAAGATTTTGAATGTAACTGTCTGTAGAACCTATGAAATGATTAAGTAAGGTAGGTAATAAGTGGACTTTAAACGAGTCAAACATATTGAAACATCAATCCGGCCTTCCACGCGCTATGGTTTCTCATTAACTCGGCTTCCGTTTTATTATAATTTCACTCCTTACTATACACATCTTTCTATCGCTTTCAACTCCAAACCAAAATCGAAGGTAGCTCTTTTGCGTCTTCACTTCAACATTTTTTCCTTTTTGTGGTGTGGTTGTTGTGTGATGGGCGAGCGTGTAATCCTAATAAATAAACACGTTGTGAGTCTTCGCCTCGTGGTCGTAATAAACTCGCATCTCGATGATGGCTTATATTATATTAAAATTTTTCGCCGCGCTCGAGAACGAATAATCGCCATTGTCGTCGTGTGACTTTTTAATGAAATTGTGAACATGCGCTCACTCTGCACACACAGCCAGCACGCGATGTCATGATGTAGTTGTTATGAGCATAACTATGGGCCATCGCCGCACACAAAGCCGAAAAAAATAAATCAACCCTCGTGATTAACCATGACATTATAAAAAATTCCCCGCGCTTGGAAAATGTTTTATTCTGTGGCTGGATGTGGCTTATAGAAAAAATCAACCGGATGATATCGTCGCGTTCGAGGCGAGGCAATTTAATGTTAATAAACAGTAGCAGTTCTGCCGTGATGAGATGACAAAATTCGCGGTGTGAGCAGACCACCGAAAAATAAAAACACAAAAACGCAGTCTGGGCATGACTGCACAAAACGTTTCGTTTTGTGTAGACTGAAAGTCATCATCAATAAAACTTTATCCAGCATAAATGACTCCATCTAGTGGCTACAAATAACAATTAAAAGAAACAAAGGTGTGTTCAACACATTCACTCACGGAAGTGGTTCGCACGACATGAAAATTTTACATGACACGATTTTTGCGTTTTGCACATTAAATATGAATGAATTAACAGCAACCGGCAACGTGCTTGTCATAATCGTACCGCATGAATACTACGCGCCAATACGATACACATTGGTGTACACAATATGTGCGCTCTTGTGTTGTATGCGTTAAGTATGCGAGTCGCCTCTTCGCGGCTTACGTAATTCCAGTAATAATTCCGCGCGCCGTCCGAGTCTTTGCACGATCGGCGGCGCGACACGACAAATCGTAAATAAGCGCAGCGGACATTTTATTAGAAAATAAAGTTCGATAAGCGGGTTTTAGCGCACCAGCCAACCGGCTACTTGTTGTGCTGCATGCGCACGCTACGGAAAATCAAGATTATACAGTCAATTAGATAAATATCAACACATCAGGCAAGTGTTAAAAGTTTTTGAACGCTTTGGAAAGATTTTCTACGACAACCAGTATATTGCAGATAATTTAATTTATAGAAAACACGCACCTGTGTAATATTCAACTGTGATTTGCGATTCGAGTTTGATTTGTGCGCTAGGTAACGCACAATTTACAGTTTTTCCAGAACCGGCTTCAATTTATTCAATTAGGTATATTTTATTTAAAATAATGATAAATATTAATTTAAAAACACCATAATAATAATTTAATAATAGAAATTCTATAATAAATTCATTATTCATTTTTGATTGTTTCTTTTGCTGAATAATTTCAAAGGCTATAAATTAATATTTGATTTATCTGACGTCGGTGTCCACAAAGCAACTCTTCATTCTCTCTATAGAAGACAGTAAATTGTCCTCTCATCTTTGCCGTGTGTCGGCTTCTTATAACTTTTTATTTAATTTATCTATACATATAGATAATTCTATTCCCATTCGAAAACAATGGACGCAAATGACTTATTGCTTCTTTGCAACATTTATAGAAGTTTTTTTTGTAGTTGTTG